GTGTGAAAAGTGAGAAGAGAAATCGCCGGATGAACACAAGTACGAATTACACACTACAATATGTATATATTAATAATCATCGATAAAAGTTGTATCATATGTGTATACCGTAGAAATAAGTGTATATTTATACAAGTAAGTGGTATAGACGAGCTGAACAGACGCACGTGTCGTTGAAAGGCCGAGTCTCCGTTCAGCAAAAGGTGATGCAATCGTCGTCCCATTGCGAGAAAACGACACTAAAAATCCATAGGAAACGACTCGGGCGACGCTCGCATCGCGCGCATACGTCCCACCCAAGTTTCCCCTTCGTTCGAGCCGGTGCTTACTCAAGGAATGCCGTAACGAACAGTAGCTTGATTCTACGTGCGAGGCTTTGCGAATGATATTGTAAACGAGAAATTAGCATTTATGTGTCGTGTTTGTGGGTCACAATACGAATTTCTCTGAAATCATATGTTAACTCGGTAAACGGGAAAAAAGAAACACTGTCCAGCCAACGAGAGAAGCGAGGTTGGCCTTACCCTCTGGAAAAGACGTATAGTCACCACGTATGAAAGTATACACGTGTACAGGAGCGTGCAGCACCGCGCGAGGGAAGGTAGGTCGGGTGTCAAGGTCGACCGGCGGTAGATCGAAAGCGCGTGAAAACGAGATAGAGTATAGGGGAGAGGGCGGCGCAGGCGAGGCCGTGGGAGAAAATTTTTGAGAATCCACGCGAGAGAGAGAGAGACCCCAGAAGTGGGTTACAGTGGCGTAACGACTGTACTGCACCGCTAGGCCGATTTATGGACTAATTTAGCCGAGGCTACGGATAATCGGCTAATTGCCGTGATTTACGCCCTTCGCGGTGCCACTGGACTACTCGCGCGGTCGCGTTGGCCTCTCGGTTTTATCGAAATTTCCATACGGACGACTAAATTGTATTTATTTTATTTTTTTTTTTTTTTTTTTTTTCACCTTCCCGTGTACTTACCGATCGATCCATTGGATGCCTAGTTGTTTATCGATCAACAAAAGAACCCGGAGCCATTGGCGGTAATTAATTAGCACCTCTGCAACAACAGCAAAGTAAGACAACACAATACACGGTAAAAGCAGCTGAGCATGTAGATGTATACCGTTCGAGGGCTTTCCCGCGCGCGTAGCTTCTTCGGTCCCTCTCGAGCCGAGTCTAATTGGCGTCGCAGAAAAATAATATATACGTAAGGCCTCTCGATTGCTTATCCGTCTTGGTTCGTCAGTGTTGCCTCACAGAGTACACTGACCGAAAAAAAAAAACAAAAAAAAATTAAGCGAGGTGGCACACGGGCGGAAGGACGAAGGGGGACTCCCTTTAATTACTCCACTCGATCTCGAGTACCCTTTCCCCCTTTCCCTCCTCGGTTAGTGGTGTTCTGATTCAACTCTCCTCTTGTCCCGCGGTCGAAGCAATTATCATACCCTTTTTTGAGGCACACGCGATCTTCTTTTGTTCGAGCTTGCGGGTAGAAGCGGAAGAAAATGAGCCGAGAAACGACACGAGTCGCAGATTTGCGTGGCTCCAAGAGAGCAGTGCTTACTGCTGTTAATTTTGTTGTTTCTTTTTTACGTTGCTCCAAACAACTTCTTCGAAACTTTTATTCGCCACTCGCTAGCTGAGCTTTGCGTGTTTCGACGGAAAATATTAGACGCTCGCTCGAGTGGGAGCCGCGTGCCGACGACAATTGGGAGTTTCAATTTTTTTTTTTTTTTTTTTCTCCTACGTGGTGATTTGCAGCTGCAGCGACTGAAAAAACAAAATTATACTTTGTACCGCAATGCACTGTTTTTTTTTTTTTTTTTTCTTTTCTTTTCAATTGTTCGAGTGGGTTTGTTGTTTCCATAAACATTGGCGTGTTTTCATTTTTGACCCTCTACCGCGGTGAATCAGAATACCCTAACTAAATGAATTCCCACCCTTTAACCGATTCATCATAACGATTGCGAACGTCATGTCGACTTGGCAGACTTTTTTTTTATAAAAAAAAAGAAGTGTAAAAAAAAAAAATAAAAACAAAACAAAATAATAAAAGAAGACAACATTGTATCAATAGTACATAGTCGAATGCAATGTTATCTGTTGTTGTTTGTTCTGGTCCCCTATATTCATTATCTAAATGTTACATGTGTAGAGCCCCCAACAGCAGCCTACACCCCCCCTACCCTGTACAACCCCTTCCCACCGAGCCCTCGAGCATCACCAAAATCATCTCGAATGAAAATCTTCTTCTTCTTGTTGTTCTTCTTCTTCTACTTCCACCACCACCACCACCACTACCACAACAACCAACAACAACAACAACAACAACCACCACTACGTACCTCGACTACCTGAACCACCATTCGACTCGACAAACCGACCGCGGCGGCGGGCGAACGATCCCCGGCGGGCGATGGGTGTTGCGCGCGCTACTAACGCAACGACAACGCGGCTGGCCGGAATCACACACGTGAACACGGCCCACAAGTTGGATACACGATGCGCGATATTCGGTACAAATGGAATTCCGGCCTACAGTCGGTCGGCATCTCGAGCGAGGTGGAACTCCCCCAGTTCCGCGTCCTCGGGCATAGGCAGCGACAGACAACCATACACCTGTCAACAGGTAGATATTTCTCTCTCTCTCTCTCTCTCTCTTTTACTCACACCTGCATAACGAGCACCCACCGACACTCAACTCGCTCTCTCTTCTTCATGTATGCATACACTCACACGTCCACGATTATTTCTCTCTCTCTCTCTCTCTCTCTCTCTGTTTGAACTTTGCATATTTATTATGCGCGCACGCCTGCTCGTTACGCATTCATCGTTCTCTTCTTCACCCGTATATACGTGTGTGTATATATATATATATATATATGTACATGCGCCCTGGGTATGTATATTGTGTAGAAAGCGGCTCTCGAGGGGACTGAGAGTGTCAGCTGGTGATTTTTGCACGTCCGCGCTATTTGTTGACGATACGGCCGAGTGGCTGAGTAATGCATCGTTACGGCTGACCGAACCTTGACTGTGACTACTGATGGACGCCCCACCACGCTCCGACGTAAATTTACCCAACTTAGTGGTCCGTACTGTTGTCGAATCGATATTTACGATTTTTACCACCCGATGACGGCGCGACCCACTTGCTCCCGCTCATTATCGCTCCGATAAATGTCGCGGACACGACGACAGGACTGCCGATACGAAACGTCGACCCAATGAAATTTCGCCCCCAACGGATCGATGTTTCTTGGCGCGCGGTGTGGGTATCTCCTCCGGCATTTCTCTGGAGAAGCTCACTCGGGCTACTGGACGGTGACCAACGTGAAAAACCTCTTCTTAATTGGAAGCTCCCCCCTCCCACTTACCAACCCCCCCCCCTTCCGCGCTTCGTTTCTTTTTTCCTTTCGTCTTATTTTTGCTCCTACTCCGAGTCTCTCTTTTTTTTTTTTTTTTTTTTTTTTCTTTTTTTCGTACTGCCCCAAGGATTCGACGGATGGCAATAAATTACCGTGCACGAGGTAGATCGGCTAAAAAACTTGATCGATGGCGGATCGGGATGGAAAAAGTTTTAATCCAACGAAGGAGGAATGGATTTTTGTTTGGTTTCTCCGTATCGAGAGTAATGCTGTTATTTTTCGTTATTGATGGGGTTTTCAATGAACTCTGATGCCGGATTACGGCCCCAATGGGAAAATAATCATCGAAATTTGTGTTTAACTGGATTTCGATCGTAGTGACCGTTACCGATCGATTCGAGACGGTCGGACGGATTTTAAAAAATGAAACAAAGTTAACTTTGCCACCGACCCGTACAGCAATTAACAACAGTGCGGGTACCTCCCAAGCGAGTTTCCGCAATTAATCAACATCAAGAGCCGGTAGGAGCACGCCTGCGAACGTAAGTAACAAAGTGAGTGATTAACCGCGCTATTTATCATCCCCGGAAAAGGAAATTTTAATATCTCTGAAAGCATCTGGTTTTTTTTTTTTGCTCCCTTGCGAGCCAACAGAGAGCTCGAGGCTCTTACGAAGACCTCACGGTGCTATTTATATGCGCTGAAAGTCTACATTTTCTTAAAACCCCAAGAGCAAAGACTCAATGTCCCGTGCGGATAGCGAACCCTTTCTACTCGAAGAGACTTGACTGCGACGAGACGAGACACCATAGCTCTTTTCTCATACGACAAAAGCACCAACGTAAGTGCATGCTCACGCCAGTCTTTACGCAGTAAGTATACACTCGTCACTACTACCACTACTGTACGTAGTACATAATACGGGGGTGCGAGGAACAGCAAGCATTTTCACCCGATTCTCTCTGATCGCCGACACTGACACACCAATATTCGCTTCTTTGTTTTTTGTACACCTGTTTTTCTCTCGATCTCCATCTCTTCTTAAAATTCCATCCAAGTCGGAAACCGAAGAGATACTGTACGAACGTATAACTCGTATGCTGTCAAAACGTACTTACGACTCACCAAAATGTTTGTGTTTTTTTTTTTTTTTTGTTTTTTTTTTTATTGTTTTTGTTTTTCATTTTCCACAAAATTAGCAAAGAAATGAAAAGGGAAAAATGAGCTTTGTGTTCGATGATGTAAGAAAAGTTTCGAAGGGTCCAAAAACTTGCGCAGTCGCAAGGGACGCTGTAGACGAAACTCGACTCTAATTTCTAAATGAGGAAACAAAAGTAGCCGGTCGCTATGCGCAAAACCACTGGTATCGCCTTAAAGTAACAAGTAAAAGTAACCATCGAAAGGCTAGAGCGAAAAGCCAAACTGAGAAAGAAAGTAGAGTTCAGAGGTAAGTTGAAGGAGGCCCCCCCCCCTCGAAGCCCTCCTCTAGCACGACGAGAAAGAAAGTTTGAAAAATTAAAAAAAAAGTTAAAAAATAACTTGAAAAAGAAAAGATGAGACACAAAAATAGAAAACAACTGTGAGAGAGGTGCGTATACCAAACCGCAAGCGGGGGTCTCTGTTTCGTTTTCCAGTCGGCTACACCATGAGGGACATCCGCTACAAGTGGAACGAGGGCCTCAACAGCGTCGGCGTCAGCAACGACGTCAGTCTGCCCCAGTTCAAGGTCCTCGGCCATCGGCAGCGCGCCATGGAGATTAGTCTCACCACCGGTAAAGTATCCCCACCCCCTCGACCCCCGCCCCCCCCCACTCATCACCTAGGATCTCACACGGAGTTTATGATAACTTATTGTTACGGTACCGATACAGTGTAACTATACATGTAGTATACCATGTCAAACACAATATACGTTTACTTACCAATACTTGTATTTTTATGCCACGTTGGAAATTGATGACCCCTGGTGTTGTCTTTTTTTATAAATCGTCAATAATATCATACAGTTATACATCACATTGATGCTCTTGTACGAAATCAATAGCAACATTCAACCACTTTATAAAAAAACTTACTCGAATAATGCGAGCCTTAAAAAATTAAAACCCAGTAGCATCAGGCCACTTCCACAAACAGCACATACCGCGATAAAAAGTTCACGAGCTTGCCTCGAAAGAAAAAAAAAACAGTTACGTACGCAGGCACATGGACACCGAGTTGGGGGTTGGAAATCCGAGTATCTGTAAACTTTTTCCATGGGAGGTATTTGTTTAAAAAAAAAAAAAAGAATAAAAGAGGATCCTGTGACGAATGTGGTACAGACGCGACTTGTTTTTCCCCTCGCTTTTCGTCGTCCCAGCTCGTCCTATCGGATCAGCGCACCCCCTTCGATTTTGGTATTTGTCGTGCAAAGAGCCAAAGGCGAATGGAAAAAAGGGCAATTTGCATTGGGAAAAATCTTCGTGTTTACAGCGCTCGGGCGATATGATCGAGGGGAGCTCGAATTTTACGACCCTGGAATAAACGCGCGTAGCCAAATATGTCGCTTTGCGAAATATGAAAATCGTCCTACGCGTATCCTCGAATATTCAAAGGACAAAGGTTCCATTTACTGCTCATTTTTCTCCCTCCATATCTGAGCAGTATGACCCTTTTTTTACGCACATACAATGCCATGTGAGTTAAAATTTTTACCGCATCGAAAATCAATGCCCGAGTTTCTCCTATCCTCAAACCTTCTTCTTTCTCTCATCGTGAACGCGGTGTTCGAAATGATGAATTTTTAATTTACGGCTTCAATAACTTACCGAATGAGTCTCACGGCCAACTGTGCACTGAGAGAAAAAAATGTAATAAAAATTACTGTGCTAGAATAGTGATCTGGTAGTGTTCTGTCGTCTAGAGACATTTTGCCGTTGGAACAGTGATTTTTGTTGTAAGAATAGTGATTTTTACTGTTTGAAGAATAGAAATTACTGTCCAAAATGGTAAGAATTAGGTTGGCCAAAGTAAAAAGTCCCTGGATGGTGAAATCACACCAGAGATTATCATTCCAGCACACTAATTTTTATTATATTTTTCTCTCAGTGTGGATGCGACCCAGACCATTTTCGACTACATCTTACACGAAATTCTACTTCATGGAAGAACAAACATCGACCGATCGACTCCCGTTTTTTATTTACTTAATCAAAAAATAGTATACTGGTCTGTAGATTTTACTAGCACCCCATAAGCTAGCCAAGACGCGACAGTTTTGATTTTAAAAAATCGATGATTCCCGAGACGAAATTAAAATCTCGATTGGGGATTTTTAACTTCTCGAGACGATATATGAAATCTTTCGTCACGCCAAGTTGTTGTTCTCAAGGAACCACCCTGCAAAATTTCCTTGGAGGTCCTCTGTTGCTTGCCTCTTCCGTAAAATCTATTGCTCCTTTCATCCCCTGTTTTTCCATTCAGTCCCGCACAGTTCCAGAGACAAATTTCCAGCGATCGTTTCGTTTTCCACTCGCAAGCGAGAGAGTATCTCGAGCTGTCCTTCAGGACGGAGAAAGCGAAAATTTCTCCTCCCAACTCTCGACTGCTGTATCCGTTTTGCGAAGTTTCGAGAGCCGATCCTCTGCTCCTCGCTCGAGGGTCCCTCGTGCTTTCGTTTTAGGAAAAAAAAAAAAAAAAATTCGGCTAATATGGAACACGAACTCGAGCCCGCATTTTATCAGACAAGCATCTTACCGCATGGCAAGAGTGGATGAAATACTAGTCTGACAATTTACGTCTATATAAAGTGTNATCGGGGATGAACGTTTTTTGGACACGTTAGAAGGAAAGCCTTTCAGAGGCGTGTGCATCGAATGTTCGGAAAAAAAAAAAAAAAAAAAAAAAACTAGATGCGCTATCTTTTTCCTGATTATAAAGAAAAAAACTCCACATCAGATGATGAAACGTGATTTTGCGCTCCACGGAGCCCTTTCACAGGCATATACGCAAAAGGAGCCCGTGCTCGCTATCTGGTAATCGTAGTAATCACCATTCGCCGGCGGAAACTCGATTTTCGTGCTCTCAAGAGCAGCGGGAGCAACAGAAAGTCCTTACCCTTTTGCTCGCGAGCGTATATCTTTTGCTCTTGATCTCGAGCGAGGGCCAAGTGCGCAATGTGTCGGCACGTATTTGCAAATGCATAGGAATATAAGGCTAACAAGTTGCTATCGACATCGGCGCGTGCTGCATCTTTTAGATTAAATCTGTTCAGGAGCGTGATTGTGTTCTCACAAAAGAGTAAGAGGAGGATGTGTTTAATGAATGCTGGGATGAGGTACGATCGACAAAACGGAGATTGGATTCCCTCTCCCTCTCTCTTTTATGGATTTTTGTTTAATTACGTATTTCGTGTGTGCTGAGCTTTTTAGATTTTACTCTGTATTTTTGTCAACTGCGTTTGTTCGCTCTAGCTGACTGGCTGTACGCGCTTTGTAAGGTTTTTCTCGGGGGAAAAAGGCCTTTTTTCAAAATTTGTTGAGATTGAATCGTACAAAGACTAACATTATACAAGAGAGGAGTACTTAAAATATCTTGTGAAATTAAAATCAAATAAATCGGGGGGTTTTTTTTTAAATTTAAATACATTGTTGCATGTTTTTTTTTTCATGATCATCATTATATAGACCTATAATATATTATGGCTTATTTCACGTAAAAATTTAATATCAAATCTAAATTAAATTCAATGATCGATAAAAAACAAAACCTTGTGTTGTTAAATAATCACTTAAATTGAAAATTTGTTTCAATTCCAAACTGATGCTGTTTGCTGCTATTAAAATCATGAAATATTTATTCAACGGATTAAATACGAAAATGTACGAACATATAAAATAAGTTTAAATAATCAGGACGGCTTTGCGTACTGTTTAAATTTGAACAAGTAAAACTCGCATCGAAGCAGTAAATATTTACCGAATTCACGTTATCAATCCGAAACTTGTTGCAAAAAATAACGGATTTTCATATTATTCCACATCGATTTTCCGTATCTGTTTTTTAAGAGATACTTTGTTGGGAGTTAATGACAACAGAAATTTCATGAGTATTAAACCCTCTGGGTCTATAGTTTGATGAAAATTTATTTCACGCGTTTTCTGAAAGACGCAGAGAGGAAGTAAAAGTTCTTCAAAAAGTTTTTTGATCGAAAACGAAGCGAAAGGAAATTATACAAAAAAATCTACTTCTTGATATCTCCGGTGCCAAATGCTTTCTACGATAAAACTCTTGGATTCAAGAAGACTGCTCGGGTCAACTTTTAGTCAGAAAAATACCTTAAAAAATTATAAAAAGCTCGCGGATAACGAATACCAGTACCTAATTCGTGCATTTTTTAAATTAAAAAACAAAGAAAGAATTTGGTCCATCGTAAACTGTATTTATCCAAAATCGAAAAATTATATTGCTTCAAGTCGAGTACCATGTGTATTGATAAAATAAAATAAAAATCATGAGAAAAATCATTACAAATTTTTAGTTATACGTAAAATCAACTCTCGTACTCAATTACAGTTCGCCACGAGCAACGCACGCGTGCACACACTTGGCCCGATGGTAAAACGAGCAAACACAGTGAGCTCGGCATCGGGTACAGAAATTATAATTTAAAAACGAAAGCCACACAGTACGGACAAATAAAGTCAAGAATACAAAAAGAGAAACGAAGGGAACTGAAATATTATGTTCGCCGGGGCATCGATACCGGAATATAACGCGCGTTTGCCTGCAGCTCTACTGAAAGAGAGGAAAAAGAAGAATCTCGACTCGATTTCCGAGTAAACATCAATACACGGAGACGCTGGAAGGGAAAAAACACACGATCCAAGGTATAAAATCTCATTTTCCAAATGTACCTATACCTACGCTGGTGTACGTGTATAATATGTACACTTTTCCAATTCTGGCCCTCCGGGAAACTCAAAAATCTCGCGCAACCTTTGGCTAAAAGATAAAGCCAAGCGATTCCTCCCACTTTCTTTTCGCGCTCGTAAATAAAGAGAGGGACGAAAAATCAGATCTGCGTCTGATTCTCGTACGTGTATTGTATACACACGTGTGGGTATGTGTGTGTGTGTGTGCGCGCGAAAGTTTGCCAGACAAGTTGGCTGGTGCTGCTGTTGCTGCCAGCGCCGCTTGAAATCGATATCATAGAAAATTTCCCGACTCCTGCCGCTGACATATCATCCTCCTCCTCCTCCTCTCCCCACGGGGAAACTTCTCTGCTTCTTTTGAATTCGTTTTATTGTACCGAAACGATGAAAATATTGCCATCGTTCTCTCTCTTTCTCCTGAAAATCAGAAATCTTCCTCTGCTTCTTATGCACACTGTCACGAAAATCCGTTTTTCTCTTTGTCATTGTCGCAGGCAAGTTCTATTTTTTTTTTTTCCATTTACAAAAAATTGCACAAAATATTTTTCAATATGTGTTTAGGTGAGATACAGATCTATTCAATTTTTCTTTCTATTTCCTGTTCGCACTATATATTAGCAGGTAATTTTCCCAATGGTCTCAAACGAGTGATCGCTTGGAAAATAAACAAAACAAATCACAATGCTCATCACTTTGAAAAGCAAAAACTACCATCATCTTCAAAAGCCATTAATTCCCAACGTAGCACTCAAGCCTTGGAATCCCTCCCCTTCACCCCTTACGTACCAACTATACTTTCTCAGTCTTTTTCACCTCTCGGTCTCATCCGTTACTCCGTTATCGCGTCTCCGAGCAACTGCGTGCTGTCACCCGTACATATATATATATATGCACTCGCATAGATATATAAGAGCACATCCCGCGGACTTGATTAAACGACCATCGTTCATTCGCAGAAACGCAAAGTTCCCGCGAGAGCGAACAAGCAAACCTCCACCGCGAAATTATGTCCTCAATTAAGAATAAGCAGTTCTCTTCGAGGCAAAACGAATACGCCGTATTAATCACGATTAAACGGCTGCTTTCCCCCCCCCCGGGCTCTTATCGCTCCCAAAAAATTAGAACTTTTACCAAAGAGCCCGACTCTCTCCCCCACGCACGTCGTTTATCTTTTCCCTCCTCCGGGCCATTTTTTTTTTTTTTTTGCTCGTTTCGCGGTTTTTTCCCGCATCCGATCGTCAAAAGCACTTGAAAATTTCACGGGGACTCCCACTCGTGGTTAAGTAAAAGTTCCCCACTGTAAAGAATCACCAATCCCCCCGCTGCATCCACGGGAAACAGAGCACGGAAAAAACTTTCGTGCCCCGCATCCCCTTTAATGAGCTTTCCTCCCTGCCTACCCGATAAACCACCAGAACTGCTCTTCCACCCCCCGGTTCGATCGAGACAACAACAAGACCGAGTGATCCCTTCGAAAGAAGCGAGAAAAAGATACGATCCACTCTGGAAGTTGCAGTAACCGGTGGGGGCACGACGGCAAGCCGCGCATAAATAAACAGCAGCTACGGCGTACCCCCTCCCTTTTCCTCCATGTAAGCGCTATTGTACCTACCCTATGTGGAGTATAGTTGTCATCGTCGTTGGCCCGGATTTTCCTATGTATACCTGTATACCTTCGAACACAGTACTCCGAAAGTCAGAGCGAAGGAGGAGGGAAGACGAGGGAGTCTGCATGGCTTAGTCGCGCTGGAGCTCGTTTATGCGGGTCGTGCGACACCACCTGAATACCCTGTGCCTCTCAAGTTCGGCTACGTGCTGCTTCCCCCTCCTCCTCTTTGTTGGTTGTGTGTTGCATCTCGGGAATGACAATAATGGAAAGGGAAAGAGGAGACGGATGCATGACTCACCGAGTGGGCCTTTTTTTTGGGGGGTTGTTTTTTCATTTTTGCCGGTGACTGGTTGCTTTGTAGCGTGGGACGAGATTTCTTAAATATTTTTAGCTCTTGTCTTCACAAGCGATCTAGCGCCAAGACGTTTCCCGGTGGTCCTTTATCCAAGGCTCCCACATGTCTTTGTCGAGAAAAATAGCGAGTGGTTTTTCCACCCCCTGTCGTCGAACTGACTTCCTTGAATCCTTTTGCTTCGGTGCATCCAGAAATGCACCGGTTCTCTTTGCCTCCACGACCCGCCTCCTCTTTCTCCGCTTCCCAAAGAATCACATCCAGGGAAAAGAAGAACCCGTGCCAATCAACGTAGCGACAGTATTTTTGTCTTTCTCCCACTCACTCCAACCTCGGATTTTACAACAAAGCTCCAGCCGTCGAGGCGAAGCGGAAATAAAGTTCGGCACTCCCGGAAATGAAGCTGATGGGCGTGATTTTTACAAATTTAGGTGCGTGGAAAGCTGCGGCGACCGACCGGAAAATGTTTGGGATAAATCACGCCTTCGGGCCCTTTGTGCGCAAACCACCCGTCGATAAAACAAAGTGAAACAAAAACTGCCCACATATATAGTTGATACCTTTTCAACCCGAATTATTGTACATACATTGTATATAACTCTGCCGCATCCGAGAGAACAAGCATGAATATTCATCGAATGAGCGACTCGTTCCCTGTAAATTAAGCTCTTTTTTTTTGGCCACACTTGCTTAACAACATCAGTTGAAATTTGCTTGATTGTTCTCGTTCGTTCTGTGAATTTGCATTGTTTTTCATTTCACGAGTGGGAGAACGTGTCCTATAAATTTATTGTTGAACTATTGAAATTTTTCGAAAGGTTATAGTTGTATTATTTATTCTTCGTCCAAACATGTACCACAATTTCGCAACAATTTTATGATTATTCGAGCGAAAAACGAAACAATACAGCTCTGATTGTCGAGTAACTTGACTCAAAGTTCTGTCCCCACCCTCTTTCAACCCTCTCTCCCCAATAACCCTCCCCAACCAACTTTCTTAATTAATCCGATAATCCAATGATCTCCAATTACGTTTTACAGTATCTCCCAGTGAAAAAAAAAAGAAACAAAGGTATTTCAAAAAATCGCCAGCATTTGATACTGAAATATTATTCAAGTAGTATTCCCTACGTTAAGTCCGGCCATCGGGGAAACCCTTAATTAAGTCGAGCATGAAAAATATATCGACGGATAATTAGCCAGGGGAGTCTGCTCCTCTCGAGGATCTCCCGTACTGAGTCCTTCTTTTTTTTCGGATTTCTCGCCTCCCGATACAGCTGGTTAATTCGAGCGTAAACGCGGAACAAAACGAAATTGGGTCACGTGCCCGCGTACGTACGAGCATGAGAACTCTGTTTTGTCGTGTCTTTTTTTTTTTTTTTTTTTCGTTTCGCTCTAGTCGATAAGGGCCTCTTTTTGCGCAGCACTTTTATCCTCTCGCTTTTTCCGCCCGTAGTTTTGTTTCGAGCGAAAAGTGTGGAGGAGGCAATGATTAGAACGAGAATTTCTAAACGAGTTTTAGGTCATGACAAATTATTTTTTATTAGTCGCTCTGTAAGCACCGTCAGGATATACTCAATTCCTAAAAATGAGAAAATTTTTCAAAACTCATAATCAACCCACGAGAAAAGTGTTTATGGACGTCAGCAACGACAGGGGGCACAATTTCCGACACATGTGTGGCATCGTCTTTCGTGTCTCCGACATCCGAGTGAAAGTAAGAAAAATCCCACCAGCGAAATATGCTAGAAATACGCTGGACAAGTGCAATGACAAAAGGCAAAGTGAAGTGTAAAAAGCACCAAAGTAAAAAGCTATAGAGGCAAAGGGGAATAAAAAGCGTATGAAAAAAAAAAAAAAATGAAATATTAAAGGGCAGAGCAAACAATGAAACGAATAAATGAAAAACAAAGCAAGCTGGGTCATTGGCAATAAGGGGGAACTCGAACATGTGGCTCTGCTGTCTCATTCACAGGTAATTACTCGCGACTGGCCTGCGAGATCCAGTTCGTCCGTTCGATGGGCTACTACCTGATTCAAATCTACATACCCTCGGGTCTGATCGTCATAATCTCGTGGGTGAGCTTTTGGCTAAACCGACATGCGACCCCCGCTCGGGTCTCCCTCGGAGTAACCACTGTGCTCACCATGACGACCCTCATGTCCTCGACCAACGCGGCGCTACCGAAAATCTCCTACGTCAAGTCCATCGATGTCTACCTGGGCACCTGTTTCGTCATGGTCTTTGCATCGTTGCTCGGTAAGTTTTTTTTTTCACTCACCCTTACTCATTTCATCAAAGTTCTGGAAAATACATTTACACAATATGCTCTTTTTTATCAAATGAAAAAAAAAAAAAATGTATATATCCAACTCCCCCCCCCCTGCTCACCGATCGAAAAACAACGATTGTACGAGCGTCCTTTTAGAGCTCCATTACGAGAGCGGTACCCCGGTCGAATCTATCGGGACCGCAAAATTTTCACGAGATAGCCGAGCAGTTTCGCGAAACGGCACCTCGTCGCTACGTACGAGTGATAAAAGTTCAGGGGATCCCTAAATTTTTCATATCGCTCTTTTCCGATGCGCGTGTACCATAAAAATCTTCCAAGTAGTAAGTACCCGCGTTTGGTCGGACGGTCGATTTCACCGGAGAGAAAAATCATAAAGAAATCTCGTGCAGCACGCGATCCTGAATTAAAAATTTCGCCGCGAAGCACACGCACGCACGTGAGAAACAGGACTCTCGGGCCGATCGGCGCTCCTCGTAAAATAAAACTCGAGCGATCGCCTCGGGCGGAGGGGAACATTAGACGGGAACGAGCGCGTGTTTCATCGAAAAAGCCCGGGGAAAAAGTTGCACCGAACCCCTCGCCGTAAAAAGTTCCAGCGAGAGCGAGCTTTTGATGGCCGCTACCTGCTTGCACTGCCAACGGGGTGTCCCTGAATATTCGAGCGGCACGTCGATTTGGCCAGGTTTTACTTCCGAGGTGGACTTTCACGATACCAACGCTCGGAATCTCAATGGCGGATGACGGATATCTTTAATGAAATTTTGATAATGGGTGGTGTACGCAAGCTCGAGCTTTTAGTAGGCGCTGGACGTGAGAGTATACGGGTCGACGGCTTTTCCCTGTCAGTAGAAGATAATTGCGTCGATTGGGACAATCGAGAGAAGAGGACTCGAGTCGGGATGAGAGTCTGGCTGGGTTTTTGGTTGCGTGAACCAAAAAACTAACGAAGGAATTGCGGCGAAGAAGTCGAAGTGCTGATGAAAAAAGATACAAAGTTAAACTGGTACGAGTGATTGTTTGGACAATCGAGGGATTTCGCGTTTGCGTGCTCGTTTTCATCCAGAAGACGTATGCATTTGAATGCAATATCGCGGAAGAAAATATTTTGCCAATAGATGCAGGGAAATGAGAAAAGATGGCTCACTTTGAACGGTGCATAGTTTTCCGAGAAGAATTTGACGTTTTTGCGAGAATAAAGAATATTGGATTTCGCGCGAAATGCGAGGACGCGAGCGCGCAAAGAGATACACCGTCGCAGGGGAGGATCAAATGCATTTTTTGGATTTTTCACCTGCGGGATTTCGCAGCCTGGAATTTCGAGACATATTTTTGCGAGTTGCGATGTCACCCCGTAACTGTCGAGTTGTCGGCAGTTTTATCGCAGCCGTGGCTACCTGGAGTAAACAGCTTCCTTTGCGTATAAAACTGCCAAGTACCATAACAGTTTATGGGCCTTCTCATAGACGCCCCTAGTTCATATTTTCGAACTTTCCCGTTTTTATCGCATTCAATTTCTCTGACAACCGATTTGAATGCCACAGAAGTATCCGCGTGAAAAAGATCGAAATCTTTTCGGAATTTTCGAAAGATTCGTTTCCAAAAGTATCTTTTGACAAACAGCTATTCAAGCGAAACATTTGAGATCTGTTTGAGATTCAATAAAAAGGCATTTTAATCTCATTAAACAATCAAAATTGTATTAAAATCTTTAGTTAATTTTTTAAGACTAGGAAATCAATAAAAATTTTGTAAACTTTAAAAAAATTGTTTACTCAAAATATTAGGCATGGTATAATTCAACTTCTCACTATGGTGATAAATATATATCGGGGATACAATTTCATTACAAACGTCGTGTGTTTTATAAATTTGAAACAATACAATACCTCTAGATGTTTTAGGCAGTACCTTTCCTCGTAGTATTTTTGATAACTTATGGACTTTTTTACTCGTGGTGCATTTTTTGTTCCTGTAGCTTTTATTTCTTACAATGACCATTTTAGTACCGACTGGTGTAGGGGGTATTGATTCTATAAAACCCGATTCGACTTAATGCTCAACAATCCCTTTGATACTTTTTTTTGTTTACTCGTATTTTTCCATGCTTTCAATTTCAAATTAAATATCTCTTCGCAGTATCAACATTTCTTTTTTTTTTCTTTTTTTTATTTACTTTAATTAAATTTTTCTCAGCTGGAGTCCAGGATACTTTTTTCTAGTAAAAATACAACAGAAAAAAAGGTTTAGTGTTTATAACGAACAATTAAACCCTTAGTTCTTTAACCTGTATTGTTTCTGTAGTTAGAACAGTAAGCTTTTTCGTTCTCAATACCTTTATTTAATGCAAGTTAACGATATTTTAATGAAAATCAATTTTTTGAATTTTCCGCCACTTTTAACAAATTTTTGGACGCAATTTTAGTCCAAAGGAAATAAAATATTTTAAAAAATCTAAACCTAATGTGCTCAAAGCCTAATCCTTAAGAGAAAGCAAAAGAACGGCAATTCATCCGCAAACAATTCACATCGTTCGTCCGTTTTATATGCGCTCAAAAGGATGGAAAATTTACCCGAAATAATGTCCGTACACCCTCACGCGCAAATTCTCTCGGTCAAAGTTGCGTTGAAAAACAAAACAAAAAAAAAAACAAAAAAAAAAGAAAAACTCGCACACAAAGGAGGTGACCACGCGCGCGTTAATGGCCCGATTCTTCTGGCCGATGGCTCTGCATGTTTTGGTACTCTTTTAGGTAAAAAAAAAAAAAAAAAAAAAATCCCCGCAGATTATTCGAGCCCCTTCGAACTCGAAGTAAGCACGAAAAAATCAGGACACCGGCATCATTTCTCTCGTCAGAGAGTACCGATCCCTCCATGTTTTCGCATGTACGCGTCTCTCAGTGGAGTGGCGGGCGTTATAGGAGAGGATTTTTTTTTCCTTCCTCCCACTCTCGAGTTTTCACTGGAGCTATCGCTCACTCGCTCGCTGGGCTCGCTCTTTTTGGGTTTTATCGAGCTCGAGTAATTCGACGCTACCCCGCGTGCTCCACTGCTGTACCGAGAGGGGGGGGGTTATTGATGTTTAAAAATACACTTGGAGCCGGTGCTTCGAGGGAGAAACCGATCGCTTTGAATGTTTTTATTCTCCATCGAGTAAAGAGTTCTCTCTGCCGGTGCTGCTCGAAAAAACAGTTTTTCGTTTCGTTTCGCTTGTGATTCGAGTGAGTTTCATCGCTCGGAATGGCTTGATTTGCTGATGCGAACGTACAGCGTGGTACTGCCATGGTTAAACACGAGGCTTTCATCGAACATGTAACACGATATTTTAGTGCTTTTAATCAACGTATCGCGTGAAGAAACGATAAAATTTACTTCAACTCCACGGGTTTCTCGAAATATAAATGAACAAAAGAGGCCAATTTGTTTTCTATTACTTACGACACGGTGGTAAATAAAATTTCTTCGAAGGATAATTTACATTTTAAAAAAGACGAAGAAAACGTGTAAAAATACACTTTGTTCTCTCTTACTTATACTTGAAGAAAAAATATTTTCCAGATAAAACTTATAGTGCACTAAATTTTTTGAAAGAAAAAAAAAAAAAAGATACTAACCAGAAATTGTTAAAAAATCTTGTAAAACAATTATTCGCAAGTCCGCGAGAGACGATTAGGCGTAGTTTCAGCGTCGAGCTTTTCGTCCCGCGCCAGAGTGAGGAGGAGTCGCTTAAAATTCAGGGACGACAAAGTCGAGCGACGTACACCCCCGCGTTAATTAAAACCTCGCAAAACTACGATCTCGGGTGATATGTATATATATATATGTATCAAATGAATAGCAGCCGTTAATTTCGGAAGCGCGAAGCGAACGTGAATTTTTCAGGTGGTCGTCGCTCCGTCGTCACATTACGCATACCAAAGTCTTTCGACAGCGCGAAAATTCTCGTACAGCCGACACCTTTCGCCTTTAATGGAAAAGGTACTTAATTGCGAGAGTGATGAGCTCTAAAGAGCTCTATTGGGACGTGAAAGGGAGATTCATGTCGTTAGGGTAACAATTTTTTGTTAAAAAGTGACGAGTAAATTTTTATAACTCTCGAGTGAGAAAAAAAAAAAAAAAAAGATCTTTAGCGATCGTAAGGCAAGTCTTTTTCCACAAAAGCGAGTGTAAAGTGCGCCAATGCCCCACGGCGACGGTAATAAATAAAAAGCGACCGAGAATCCATAAGGGAAAAAGGGCACGTTCGTGTGGTTACATGCGCGGCACAAGGAAGAGGCAGAGGAGGGTGAAAAAGAGGTGAGCTCGGGTTATTCGCGGCGAGCGGCCAGCCGTGAAAAATCCACCCTCCTTCCCTTCGTCTATAAATACAGCGTGACAGGTGTACCCTTTATTATCGAGTTAGACCACCTGAAATAGACCACCGGGTAATAATATACACAGCGCCTAGCCACGACGACCTTATTTTTCCCTTCTCTCGGCTTGCGCCGCTTCAGGTAGGGAAGCAAAAAAGAGGTCGATCGAGTTGGTTCGACCTTCGTGAAAATTTATAGAATTCTAGGGTACAGCATCGGCAAATCCTTTTCTCTCTCTCTCTCTCCCTAAGTTTGATCGGACGTCGTTTGATAACGATATTTGCATTGCCATGGAGTCACATATTTCAATAGGTCCTCAATTATTTAAATGCTGGTGGGAATTTCAACTCCATCCACACCTTTTTTCCTCGATGAAACTATGTTATCTCACAGTATATGTACGTGCAGCCGCTGGAAGGGAAGCAAAGATAATTTCGGCTGAATAATCCAAAACTTTCTCCCAACTATGTGTGTTATTAACTCCGTGCGAAAATTTCCAACTCGAAATTAAAATCATTATCACGCCGAGTACGAAGGATTAACGAAATTTCAGGGGAATTTTTACGGGTGAAAAAAATTAAGTCTGAAAAATTCATAGGAGCGAAGCCATGGGGAAG